GGCTGTTGTTCACAATAGAGAATTCAATATTGTTTATTTAGATTTTAGTAAGGCTTTTGATAGAGTACTGCACCAGAGACTGTTAAAAAAAGTGGCAACTCATGGCATTGAGGGAAAAGTGCTGTCATGGATCAAGTCATGGCTCACGAACAGGAGGCAGTGTGTGCATAAATGGGGTTAAATCTGAGTGGGGATCTGTAACAAGTTGCGTTCCACAGGGATCAGTCTTAGGCCCTTTGTTGATTATAATATATATCAATGACCTTGACAAGGGAATTACTAGTGATATGAGCAAATTCGACGATGATACAAAGATAAATAGGATAAATTATTGAAACGTAGATGTCGTGGAACTTCAGAAGGATTTAGACAAACTCAGTTCGTGGTCAGAAAAGTGGCAGATGCCGTTCATTGTAGATAAATGCACGGTTCTGAAGCTCAGGAGTGTCCATAATCCTAGCACTTAATATAAGTTAAATAATGTAGAATTTAGCCATACAGATTGCCAAAAGGACTTGGGGGTTATGGTAAGCAGCGACCTTAACCCTTTGAGGGTCGACAGGCCCTCTCCGAAACTCGTTCTCAGGGTCGGCCAAATTTCAAAAAAAAAAAAAAATATTTTTTCTTATGAAAAAATAGAGTTTTTTTTCTAAACATTATAGGATAAACAAAAAAAATTTACCATCAATACTTACGGAGATATGGATGCATGAAGTTTGCAGAAAATGAGCCGCGTATGGCAACAGCGGCGACTGCCGCTCACCCGGTAAACTTTAGTTTACTTGTATTTGAAGGTTTGTTGTTTTTTTCACTATTTTATTTTTTTTCACATAACTTATGTGGCCTGTGAGACCAAAGTAAGGTGCAATGTACATAATACACTCGTTGTATACAACACAATAAGCACACAAACATAATTATCAATATATTGTTTACAAAACTTGTTTTACAAAAACAAACAATACAAAACATTGTTTATTATTATTGTTCTATATAATATATATACCAATATCAGTCACTGAACATATTCCTATTAGTTCTGCAGCTTGTGGAACTCTGAAACATGGTGTCATACACAATGGTGTTTTATCTTTCTCCTCATCTATCTCTTTCAATCTTCTCTCTCTTTCTATCTGTCTATCTATCTCTGTCTCACAGGTACACATAAATACAAGTATACATAGTATAATTACCTAGGATAACCCAAGAAATCCAGACAAAGTGCTATACTCTGCTTGAAGATGTGAGTAAAAATGATGACACAGTCTTGGGCTCTCTGAGACAGAGAGCTAGACGGATAGACAGATAGACAGGAGCTTGACAGACAGACAAATAGACAGACAGAAATGTTAGTGTACCAGTACCAGTGTACTAGTGTTCCACCCTCCTCCTCCTCTTCTTCCTCTTCTCCTCTTCCCCTACTTCCTCATACTCTTCCTCTTCCTCCTCTTCCTCTTCCTCCTACTCTTCCTCTTCCTCCTCCTCCTCTTCCTCCTCCTCCTCTTCTTCCTCTTCCTCTACTCTTCCTCCTCCTCCCTTCTTCCTCTTCCTCCTCTTCCCCCTAATCTTCCTTGTACTATTCCTCTTCCTCCTCCTCTTCCTCTTATTCCTCTTCCTCCTACTCTTCCTCTTCCTTCTCCTCCTCTTCCTCCTCCTCCTCTTCCTCCTCCTCCTCTTCTTCCTCTTCCCCCTACTCCTTCTCCTCCTTGTCCATAGTGTAAATTACAAGGAGTCCGCAGCTGTCAAAGTGACATATTAGCTCATTACTCTTTCCCCCTCGGCCTGTCAAAACAATGGGGTCGGATGCTGCTTCCCCTCCTCCATTCTAATTATCTTTCTCCCTCATTCTATCTGTCTGTCTATCTCTGTCTCACAGGTACACATAAATACAAGAATACATGGTATAAATTACCTAGGATAACCCAAGAAACCCAGACAAAGTGCTATACTCTGCTTGAAGATGTGAGTAAAAGTGATGACGCAGTCTTGTGGCTCTCTGAGACAGAGAGCTAGATGGATAGACAGGGAGCTTGACAGACAGGCAAATAGACAGACAGAAATGTTAGTATACCAGCAAAAACAAAGGGAGGGCGATGTTCATCTCATCTTTTGGCATCAGCTCTACCCTCATTTACCCTCATCAAACGTCAGCACTTATCAGATGTTATCTCCCCTTATCTTGTTACTGTCATGGGTGAACATTTATTATTACATATTATTATTATTACCTATTATTATTATTATGTATTATTATTATTATTATTATTATTATTATTATTATTATTATTATGTATTATTATTATTATGTATTATTATTATGTATTATTGTTTTCATTACGTATTCTTCTTCTTCCTCCTCCTCCTCTTCCTCCTCCTCCTCTTCTTCCTCCTCCTCCTCCTCTTCTTCTTCCTCCTCCTCCTCCTCCTCCTCCTCTGCCTCCTCCTCCTCTTGCCTCCTCCTCCTCTTGCCTCCTCCTCCTCTTGCCTCCTCCTCCTCTTGCCTCCTCCTCCTCTGCCTCCTCCTCCTCCTCCTCCTCCTCCTCCTCCATTCTTGGAACAAGTTTGAAGAGCTTGTAGTTCATAATCACTATCATTATCATCACCAATGCTCACATCTGAGTCTGGGATTTTGGGAAATAGGAGTTTTCCTCTTTGATTCTGGTACAACTGAACGACGGCCCAGCACCAGAGGTGGAAGGCTGTGGGTTGTCTGGGTTTTCCTCACTATTACCCATATTATGGTCATTAGTTTCGGTCAAAACCTCACCAGAACCTTGAAACTCATCTTCACTGTCACTTCCATCTGTATTAGAACTGTCACTGGGGAACAAAAGTGTCCCAATTCGCCGAGGAGTGAGGAACTTCTTACCACAGGGCACGGTGGAAATTGTGTACTATGATGGCATTCCCACAATGCACCACTGGGTCCCAGATTTTTTTCCTACTGCCACACCCACCACACAGACCCATTCTCTCACATCTAGGCTTATCAGCCTTTTCCTGTGAGATTTGAGGCCGCTAGAATTTATGCATACTAGTACGACAAAAACCCCTATGCGTAAGACGTACTAGTACGACGAAAACCCTCAAAGGGTTAAACCTAGACAGCAGTGTGTACACATGCGTAATAAGGCAAATAGATTACTGGGATTTATATCAAGAAGTGTAAGCAACAGAAATCCAGTGGTTATATTACAGCTTTATAGATCATTAGTAAGGCCTCACTTAGATTATGCAGCTCAGTTCTGATCTCCATATTACAGATTGGATATAAATTCGTTAGAAAACATTCAGCTTAGAATGACTAAGTTAATACATAGCATTAGATATCTTTCATATGAAGAAAGATTTAAGTCTCTTTATTTATATACACTTGTAAGACGACTGAGGGGAGACATGATCGAAGTGTATAAGTGGAAGATGGGTATTAACAGAGGGGGATATAAATAAGGTTTTGAGGATATCCCTCCAAGAGAGAACCCACAATAATGGATTCAAATTAGATAAGTTTAGATTTAGAAAGGATATAGGGAAGTAGTACTGGTTTGGTAATAGGGTAGTTGATGAGTGGAACAGTCTGCCTAGTAGGGTTATCGAAGCTAAAACCTTTGGTAATTTCAAATTTAGGTTGGATAAATACATGAGTGAGAGGGGTTGGATTTGAGTAGGACTTGCCCGAAAGTAACTAGAATTATCAAAGTTTATTGCTTGGGTAGTGTTTATTCTGTTAGTGGGTTGGATTTGTGAAGGGCCAACAGGTCTACTGCAGTGTTCCTCATTTCTTATGTTCTTATGTAGATGAGTGGAACAAACTCGCAAGTAGCATTATTGGGTAGTTTTAAAAATAGGTTGGACAAGTACATGAGTGGGTGTGAATTGGACATGCCTAGCATAGGTCAGTAGTCCTGCTTTAGTGCTCATCCTTACCTGTGTTCTTTGTTTCTGGACTTTGTCTGGACAACAGATTTTGTCCGATAAATCTGAGTTCCATTAAATCAAGGTCAGTTAAATTGAGGTTTTACTGTACATGTTAAAGTTTGCTTATGTGACTGTCATTATACAGTACCTTCTTGCTTGTCTTGCATAACTTTAACTTATTTGTTACACACACAGTTTGTGTGCCACTTGTGTGAGTGTGGACCCCTGCTGTGTGTCTTGCTGTTTGCATTTTTTCCCCATTGCCTAAAATTTTTTTACTCAGTATTATTTTGTATGAACTCTTACTGGGTATTCAATATCTTTCATAATAAAACAACAAAATACACTATTTTATTTAAGTTCTGTGCTTGGCTTATCATTGTATATTCATATTAATTATTAATCTAGGCAAGATATTCTAATCATTAATCTTGTAAATACTGTACATCACATGGTGGAGGTATTTCCACTTTATATCACAGATTTCAATTTTTGTTTTTCATTATAATATGAATGTAGTCTTCCCAGATAACCAAATATATTTAAGTTTATTTTAGAAATAATATAAATGTAAGTTGTAGTCCCTTCATGGGAGGTCCCCTCAAGGAAGGTTCCTTGATGCTGGTGAGGGGGCTCTTGATCTAGGGAATTGGATCTGTACTTCAGTTCCCTGAATTAAGCCTGAATATTTTCCACATCATCCCCTCCCCCCCCAGGTGCTGTATAATCCTATGGGTCTAGTGCTTCCCCCTTGATTATAAGAAAAATAATCATGGGAGGTACCTTGATGCTGGTTAAGGGCTGTTTATCCAAGAAATTAGAGCTACCCTCCCCTTCCTTGGATCAAACCCAATTATTTCCCATTTCTAGGTTTCCCATTATGGGTTTAGCCCCTTTTCCATGATATACTAATAATGTAAGTCACAGACGATCTTAGCCTTGTAATAATAGAGTATATAATTCTTTAATACGAGAATATTTAATTGCAAAAAAGCTTATTAATTGTATTTGTTACTGGTGTGTCTCCTGCTTACTTGATTGATGCTTATATTGTTTTATTAAAAGTTTTTTTTTCTTTTCAGATGTTTGAAGACCTGTCATTCCAGTGAGCAGTTAAACTATAATTCAGCCTCGGATACATCTGAAAGATACTTCACTCCATATGAGAGAGACTGTAATGGCCTTGATACTGGTGATGACCTGGAAAACTTTCATGATTCAGTGGTAATTACTTTATAGATTATATGTAGTAATACTGTATTGTATGGCATGGTTATTCTCAGAAAAAATTCACCTTAAGTTCACTTTATACACTTATTAATGTTGTTACAGTACTTGTGCATTATATATTTTTTCATAGCCTTTGCATTGTTTTATAGTGAAAATAAATATATAGTTGAGACCTGCTTTTATGGTCCTTTTTAAAATAGTTGTTAGTGAATGTGGTGTGAGTGAGTAAAATATGAAAGGAACTTTTTTCATAAGACTAGCCATAATAAATTGTAATTTGATGTAATTAGGGAATCTAAAGTCATGATTTTATATTGGACTCCGATTTTTATGTTGCAGCTGGAATAACGTTTTACTAAGTCATCTTTATTTTAAATAAAGATTTCAGCCTTGGAAAATGCTTTTGTATGGCTCAGGGTCATGTAAAAATGAAACATACATTTGACTTATTGGAATCTCATTAGTTCATCTGTCTACTATATACAGTAACAAAGATTATTTTTTCTGGTTGTAGGAGAGAGCAGACATTACATCTTTAAGGTCAGATAATACAATTAACACAACTGGTAAGGCATCAAACATTACTGGAGACACCTTCTCTATATCCAGTGGTGATACCATCAACAACTTTGATATCGGAACAATGGAACCTAAGGTATGTAAGAGCATAGGCAATGGGGAAAACCAGAATGCAATATTTTACAAGCTGGTTTTGTCACTTGACAAGAAAGACTTTCATAATAAAATGCTTAATTTTATGAACTGGGTCTCTTGAGACCAAAGTCATGCCAGTTTCTCAAAAAAAAAAAAAAAGCATAGTTGAACCTCCAAATTCACATACTTGGATTTTTTTGTTTTCAACAAGTTGGCTGCCTCCCACCGAGGCAGGATGACCCAAAAAGAAAGAAAATCCCCAAAAAGAAAATATATACTTTCATCATTATCATCCAACACTTTCACCTCACTCATACATAATCGCTGTCTTTGCAGAGGCGCCCAGATACAACAGTTTAGAAGCATATATAAAGATATATAACATATCCTTCCAAACTGCCAATATCCCAAACTCCTCCTTTAAAGTGCAGGCATTGTACTTCACATTTCTAGTACTCAAGTCCGGCTGTATAAAAATAAATGGTTTCCATGAATCCCTTCACTGAATATTACCCTGCTCATACTCCAACAGCTCATCAAGTCCCAAAAACCATTTGTCTCCATTCACTCCTACCTAACATGCTCACGAACACTTGCTGGAAGTCAAAGCCCCTTGTCCACAAAACCTCCTTTACCCCCTGCCTCCAACCTTTTTGAGGATGACCCCTACCCTGCCTTCCTTACCCTACAGATTTATACACTCTCTGTCATTCTACTTTGATCCATTCTCTCTAAATGACCAAACCACCTCAACAACCCCTCTTCAGCTCTCTTTATTTCCACACTCCGAATTTTCTGCAAGGAGCATAATATAATGGTAGTGGGTTGTGTCAGCCAACTTTTATATTGTTTTAATGTCACCTTTGAACCATTTATACCATTTTTAGTATATTTTTAAATGTTTATACAGTAATGTACTGTATATTGAAATGAACAGAATAGAAATCGGCTGTAATATACATTACATATTTAGGTATTCATACTGGTCAGAGAACCCATCTTAAGTCAGAGTCGTTGCTAAACGAGTACTTCGCTAAGTGACGAGAGGCTGTACATAATTACATGTTCATGTTGCAGTAAATAATTAGCTGGGTGTTAGTTGAATGTTGTGCATAGTATCCTGAGAAAGGGTGGTGATAATACAGCATACCTTAGATAAGGCTGAGCGTTCAAATGACTTCAGGTAGGCTAACGGCTCTTAGACTGTAAAATCAAAATTGTATAATAAATATTGCATTGCAGATCTCGGTCGATCAAGCACACATGGATGAAATGTGCCTCAAAGTTAAAGAATTGAAAATTCGACGCAAGTCCAGCAGTAAAGAGAGTTTATTGGATACACAGTGTTCCAATAAAAAGCGAGGCTCAACAGAGACTCTTCACACATTCAATGACCGAGCTGCAGATGGGGAAGAAGATGAATGTAGAAAGAAAACAAAATATATGAAGAAATTAAAGCAAGAGTGGATTGCAAGAAGTCTAACAACACTTGCTCCTCGGTAAGTTTTTCCCCATTCTCTATATACAGTTTATTCCATCTCAGAAACATGTCTCTCAGTTGCATTTAGGATGCACTTCCTAATTTGAAGAATAAAAAGCATAATACTATTGCTAGAAAAATTTACAATTTTATTTGTTTTGGAATTTTCTACTACAGTATTAGAATACAGTATTATATTTTCATTATCACTAAAAGTATCTTGACAAATAATACTACTTCCAACTTCAGGAAAAAATAAAATATCTTAAAACAAATAGTTGATGGTTGGTTAACATGGTACTTATATTCCTGAAAACAGCACATAAAAACAAAGTGTATAAAATGAACCAATGAACAAAAGGGAAAAAAATAGTGTATATTCCTTAGAAGCCCAGGAAAAAAAAAAAAGCCAACCAAATTATTGTAGGTCTTCAAATTGTAAAAAAAAAAAAAAAAAAAAAAATAATTAACTGTAGGTTAATGTAGTGATGTACATCAGTCAAAGATTCTGCATCCACATCTCTGCTAACAGATGGAGGTGCTTTATTGAACTGTCACTTAACACTAGTTATGTTCCTGAAAATGCTGTGCTAGGTAAAAAATCATGTTAGATGAACTGCAGAACTTGTGGGAAAAATAGGGTTATGTTCCTGGGAGCCCCCAAAAAGTCAAACGACTTGTTTTTTAGACCAACAGATCTTACAAAAATAAAAATGAATATGTAATTGTAGTTCATTGTCGTGATATATTACTGCTGAAGACTGCAAATGCAATAGAAATAATAGTATTTCTTACCTTAAATTGTGGGTAATGGTGTTTGTGGATGATTGTGAAGAGAGTGGATATGCATGGTGTGGCCCTACTGGGCTGAGGTGGATGGTTGTTGATTGTCACCAGGAGTGGATAGTTGAGGTTCTGGTACTGAAGTCGATGGTTGTATTGGAGTGTGTATAAATTCTGTAATGGATCTCTGGGCTCTTTTACCCTGCAGTACATTATACAGCTGATGGTAAGGCATCATCAGCTGGTCTAGACCCCTTTTTAAAGCACTGCTTCTAGATTTGTCAGGGTTCTCTTCAGTGAAAAAGTCTGCAACTTTACCAATAATATGGAACTGCTCACATTACTGCTGCAATGTTAACTGTTTTTCTTCAGGTTCTTCTTCATCTTCTGTTATCTCCCTCCCTTGTATCTGTGCATCGAGCTCTGCCAACATTTCCTCTGGACTCCTGTCTTCATCATCATTATCTTCTAAGAGCTCATTCACATCTTCTTCATTCATATCTTCAAAACCATCACCTGGTAATCTCCTTGCCAGCTGAAAAGTTTCCTGACCCTGACTCTCAAGCAAGGGAAAACCAGGAAAGAATTAACTACAGAAGGCCATAACTTTCCCCAGTCTGCATTTAATGTTGATTGGGGCACTTCATTCCATGCACTTCTAGCATAGCTGATAGCATCTGCAATGCTTAATTCATTCCAGAAGCTAGGTACTGCCAAGTTGGAATCAGAGTCCATTGATGCAACTAGTTTTTTCATAACTTTTTTGTGTAGTTAAACTTGAATGGCTTAATAACTCCCTGATCCAGTGGCTGAATTAGAGATATATTTGGAGGTAAAAATATAACTTTTACATGTGGGGTCACATACAGCAAAGTTTGTGGATGAGTACAGGAATTATCAAGAATGAAGAGAGCCATGAGTGCAAGGTTCTTGCTGTGCAAGTAAAACTTGGCTTCAAAAATAAAGTGATGCTTAAACCAGTCAATAAATATTTCCTGTCATCCATGCTGACTGGTTTGATCTCCAAATTACTGGTGAGGTGTTTTTATCTACACCTTTCAAAGGACGAGGATTCTTAGAGCGGTAAATAACCATGGGCTTACACTTGAAATCACCTGTTATTGACTACTTGTGCATATTTTTACTGTTCACTTTAGGATTTTTTAAGCAAAATTAGAGAAGATTTTGATAAGCTTGAGCAGCAAGCAAAAGCCACCTTACCAAATGTTAACTACAGAACTGTCACAAGGAGACAGAGAATAAGAAAATGGCAAGGAAATGATGGAAGTGCACCTGGTCCTGATGCCTTAGATGAACTCTCTTCAAGAGTTAAGTTTAGGATAAAATCCTTTATTCCTATACTAGATGCACTTAACCCTTTGAGGGTCGAGAGGGCCTCTCCCAAACTCGTTCTCAGGGTCGAAAAATTTTCAAAAAATATATATATATATACATATATATATATATATATATATATATATATATATATATATATATATATATATATTTTCTTGTGAAATGATAGAGAATCTTTTTCTGAGCATAATGACACCAAAAGTATGAAATTTTATGGAAAACTTAAGAAATTATGCTCTCGCAAAATTAGCAGTCTCAGAGTTGGTGATTTCGCCCACTTTGAGCCCTATTTTCGGCCAATTCCAATGTTGCAATTGACTAAAATCATAGCTATTTCCCTAAAACTCCATCTGTTCTATCGATTGAGTACAAGAATCCGCCCATTTACCGATTTCAACTACCCAATAAAGTGGTCAGAAATTGGCAATTTGGGCAATTTCACACAAATTTCAAAAGATGCCAATCTTGAAATAGGGTCCAGAATAAACACGACAGACATTCATGGCACTAAAATAACATTTTATCTGCTCATTAGTCACGTCTCTAGGCCCCTTTTACATTACTTTTGCTTTCCGTTTTGAATTTTTATTCTCACAGAAAATAGAAGGTTTTCTATTATGTATACTACTGCATCATTGTAAAAATGTTATAAATGATATCAGCACAATTGTGAAAGAATATTAGACTCGCCAGTTAACATGTATTGGATGCGTGGCTTGATTTGTTTACTCTTGAACATCGGCAAAAATCAATCATTTCTGCTACTTTGTGCTCAATTTCAAGGTACTTTTTCATCATGAAACCAATCAAAATCACCTCTAATTCTGTAATATATCTTCCATTCTATCAAATGAAATCAAGGAAATGAGAATACAGCCATAAATACCATATGAAAATACACTAGAAAGTCGGTGTTTTAAACCAAAAACGCAGTCGAAGTTTTTTTTTTCTCATTATGCACAGCGTGCTTCAGGATTTTTTTTATACTGTGCACACTGACCACACAAACCCATTCTTTCATATGTAGGCCTACCAGCTTTCTTCCACCAGATTTGAAGGTACAGTGGACCCCCGCATAGCGACCTTAATCCGTGCAAGAGGGCTGATTGTTATGCGAAATGTTCGGTATGCGAATGAATTTTCCCCATAAGAAATAATGGAAATCAAATTAATCTGTGCAAGACACCCAAAAGTATGAAAAAAAAATTTTACCACATGAAATATACATTTTCCTACACACAAAGAGAAGGATACATGCACAATAGTAGAGTAGTACATGCACAATATATATTGTGCATGTACTACTCTACTAAATGAAGAATAAATGACACTTACCTTTATTGAAGATGCAGCAATGACTGATGAGACACTGTGTCCTGGGAGTGCCTTTTCCTCCTGAGTACAGTAGGTCCTGTTTGGCATTTTCTTCCAGAACAGGCCTTATCACACTGTGTATGCCACTACGATTCTTAAATCTCTCAAACCAACCTCTGCTGGCTTTAAATTCACCAATATGAGCACTAGTTCCAGGCATTTTTCCCTGTTCACCTGGGTGTTAGTCGACTAGTGTGGGTTGCATCCTGGGAGACAAGATTAAGGACCCCAATGGAAATAAGTTAGACAGTCTTCGATGACACTGACTTTTTTGGGTTATCCTGGGTGGCAAATCCTCTGGGGTTAATTGTTTCTTGGTATTCTAAATAAGCCACACCAACAACGGTGCTACAGCAGCAGCAGCAGCTGACGGTGGTACAGCAGCAACAGACGATGCTACAGCAGCAACAGACAATGCTACAGCAGCAGCAGACGATGCTACAGCAGCAGCAGACGATGCTACAGCAGCAGCAGACGATGCTACAGCAGCAGCAGACAATGCTACAGCAGCAGCAGACGATGCTACAGCAGCAGCAGCAGCTGACGGTGGTACAACAGCAGCAGCAGCTGACAGTGCAGCAGCAGCTGTACCACCAATAGTAGCGATGGTTGATTGGGGTTTATTATACAACCTGGCCAGCTCGGAGACACGCACTCCACTTTCATACTTATCAATGATCTTTTTCTTCATCTCTATAGTAATTCTCACCCTTATTGCTGTAGGGTTGGCACTAGAAGCTTTCTTGGGGCCCATGGTCACTTATTTTCCAGAAAAAATCACCAAAAACACTGTAATAATACGAAATGTTCCGATTGTATGCTTGGATGTTACTGCGGAGGCTGGCTGGTAAACAATGCCACCGGCGGAACATGTGAGCGTGGCTCAGGCCGCACATTGGACGCGTCTCGGACGAAGGGCGGTGAGCGGGTTTTTGGGCGGTATGCGAGGCAAAATTTTTGCGAAAAAAGCGAGCGGTATGCGGATTGTACGGTATGCGATGCGTGCGGTATGCGGGGGTCCACTGTACTAGAATTTAGGCGTACAAGTACGTGACCGACCTTGGCTGCAATGACATACTTGTACGTGACCGACCCTCAAAGGGTTAACTGTCCAAACGTATATCTATGTTCTTACCACTAGTGCTTCAAACGTAGATCTACGTTTTATTTTTCCTGCCTCCAAATTTTGCACGATTGGCCTGAGATGCCTGGTCAGCATAGAATGGGTCTTAACACTCGGTGTGCACAGTACAGCCTCTCCTCAGTTAGTGATGTGACTTACGACGGGAGCTCTGACCAGTTTGCATACCTAAATAATGTATATTAGAACTGATTTCCTCTATTCTGTTTATTATGCTATATAGTACACAACTGTATAAACGTTTAAAAATATACAAGAAACATTATGAATGGTGCAAAGGGGACATTAAAACAATATGAAAGGTGGTTGACACAAACCCACTACAGTGGACCCCCGGTATTCGATGGCATCGGTATTTGATAAAT